AAATTGATATTGTTAACTTTTAGATCAATGATAGAAGTATGCATCAAGGAAAGAAGTCATTGTTCATTTTTCTTTTCTTTTCAAGTTTTATGTTATGCCGAAAGAATACAAACAATGGAATTTTAAAAGCTATTGTTTGTTATTTCTTGCGATGAAATCTCTATTCTACTTATGCTTACTTAACTAGTTTATATGAAATTTGGTATTTGAATGTTAATTTTTAGATTGTGAAACCAATCAACTATCCAAAATAATTTAAATTGTAATAGGTATAAATTATAGAGAAAAAAAGAAAAAAAAATTAATTAGGTCAACCAGCGGGTTGACCCGTGACCCGTGATGGGCGGGTTAGGATCTGCCTTCATTGACCCGTGACCCGTTTTAACCCAACCCGTTTTGACCCGTTACCCATTCTGACCCGACCCTAACCCGACCCAATCCGCCCGTTTGCCAGGTCTATTGCAGACCCGACTACACAAGTGCTTAAAGAGCGCACCAAAGCCACGATTAACTACAATTTTTTTATTAGGTTAAATGTTAATTTTGATCCCTCAACTTTATAGAGTCGCACTTTTTTTTATCTCTTAACTATTTTTTGCATTTTTTTGATCCATCAACTCTAAGAACTGCATAATTTTTATTCTTCCATCAATTAAGTCACACCTGATAGTTAAATATTTTAGAATAACATTTTTTTAATAACATGTTAATGGCAAATCATATAATTAGTTTAGGTGGACTATTCCAAGTTAGATTTAATTGTTATTTTTAATTCTTTTCAATTCTTTAAATATAAAATTACTAAAATGCCCTTAATTTATTCTTCTCACCATTGTTCTCCTTTATGCTCTCTCGTTCTCCTCGTTCTCCTTGCCACCGCCACTGTTTCCCATCATTTTTCCTCTCTGTCACTATTTCTCTTCTCCCCTCTTCCTCATCTCCCTTCTTGGCCATGGCTAGGTTTGTGAGGAATCCAAAGACAATTTGGGTTCGTCGTGAACCTAGATTTGTTCTAGGTTCATCATGAACCTAGTGCTGGGTTCGTCATGAACTCAAAAGGGTTTGTCATGAACCCATTAAAGGGTTCTCGCGAACCTACATGATTTGGGTTCACCTCTTTCATCCTCCTTCATTCAGTACTCCAATATTCTCTCCTTCGATCTTTCTCCTTCTTCTCCTCTTTCTTTCGTCCCTTTCCCTCTGGATAACAACACAAAGATACAAAACAGACCTTTTCAATTAACTACACTAACAACATGAAAAGCACACATAATCTTTGAAAATGAAATAACAATTAAAATCTACCAAAAACAATAACAAAATTCTTAGAAGAATATGGATTTGTGACAAGGGTTTTTTTAACCCAAATTTTGTTCGTTTAACCCATAAATGGTTTTTTTTTTTTTTCAAATTTAGTGATTTTGGATTTTCAAAGAGAGAAGGAGAGGGAAGGCTCGAACGATTGGGAAAGGAAAAGGGAGGAAGTAAGTGGTTAGAGAAAGGATAGCGAGGGAGAAATAGTTAAGGGCAGGGGAAAAGGGAAGATGAATAGTGAGAGAAAGAGGACCACGAAGAGGATGAAAGTAGGGGAATAATTGTATTTTTGTCTTTTAATTTATATGATGTTATTACACGTCATTCAAAAGTGCCATTCTAGAATATTTAACTGTCATGTGTGATTTAATTGACAAAAGGATTAAAATTGTGTAGTTCTTAGAGTTGAGGGATCAAAAAAGTACAAAAAATAGTTGAGAGATAAAAAAAAATAATTCTATAAAGTTGAGATATCAAAATTAGTAGTTAACCATTGTTTAAGGGATTTGCCGACGTGACTAACGATATAGACCACACACTACAAGCAAATTGCCCTTTACTAATGGCACTCTATATAGACGGATTGAAATCCGTTAGTATACTCCGGTCTATACCCACGGAAAAATATATTCGTTAGTATAGACTGGGTCTATACCAACTGAAAGCATATCTGTTAGTATAGATTGGGTCTATACCAACTGAAAAATGTATCCGTTACTATAGATTAAATCTATACCAACTGAAAAATATATCTGTTAGTATATATTAGATTTATACAAACAATTTACTAATGATCCATTAGTATAGGCTGGGTCTATACAGACGGATTACTGTAGTCCGTCTATATAATTCATTTAAATCTACATGCCACAATTTTTCTTTTTAATTTCTATAGTCGTTATACGACTCTCCTAAAAGAACCCACCCCCCCTGCATCTCTCCCTCACCGTTTTCTCCAATTTCTGCGTACCCTCACTCAGCGTCCCCTTTTTTGAACTCAGAAGCCCTTGGGCTTTCCAAGTGTTTTGCCGCTTGAGCTGCCGGGCTCTCCGGCTGCTCAACCCTCCTGGAGCCGGTTACGTGCTCCCTGCTCCGATGACCCTTGGGTGGTCTGTCGGCTTTTGGGATCCCTTCTGGCGGTCCTTTTCTTGTTTTTTTTTTCTGTTTTTCTGTTTGTTTGGTTCGTTTGTGCTCAGATCCGGTGGCCATCCAACCCTCACACGGATCTACCTTGGTGGTCGCTGGGTTCCCAGATCTGGTGGCCACTGCCGGTTTGGCTTCCCGCCTCGGCGTCCTGGAGACTAAGCACCACTCCTACACGAGTAGATTGAAGGGTGTCCAGTTATTTGGATCGTTCGACCAGAGGATC